GCGCGTGTGCGGCAAGAGCAGCGTGCGCATTCAGTCCATAGGAAAGCATTTCTCAATGCTTTCCTATGGACGTCAGCATCTTCTCACTGTGATTTTCACTGAGAAGTGCCTCTAGCGGCTGTCAGTGAGTCAGCCACTAGAGGCTGGATTAACCCTAATGTAGACATAGCAGTTTCTCTGAAACTGCTATGTTTACAGCTGCAGGATTAACACTAGATGGACCTGGCACCCAGCCCACTTCATTGAGTTGAAGTGGTCTGCGTGCCTATAGTGGTCCTTTAATAGAGATTTTGAATAGTGTTAATACCTCTGAATTGCACTGCATGACTTTTGGGTTTTTGATTTAATGTTTTTTTTTCTGTTTTTTTTTTTTTTCTTATCTGACACTAAACTAATAAAGAATTTTGGGCATGTCCACCACATATAACTATAGGTGCCTCTCACACTGCAGGATCTGTAGAATGGGCCGGTTATTTATTGGACACAGAAATGGACTCTGCTTTAAAATCTAAATTTGCCACCTCTGGCTAGAATACCTATTAAGTGCAGCTTATCCTATTTGTAAAAACACATTTTGTGTACACTGTAAATGGGATTTAGTAAAGACTGGATCACTGCCAATGTAAGGATTTACTTCTAAATTGCGTTCCTCTAGGTGGGTCGTTTAATCCAGCAGGCAGCTGGTAATAGCAACTTGAAGAAAGTGACTCTGGAGCTTGGTGGGAAAAGTCCAAACATAATCTTTTCTGATGCAGACTGTAAGTATTTTAGAATAAAATATATATAAATATATTTATTTTTTTATTGTGCCTAGTTTATTTTACAGATGGGAAAGTATGGCACAACATTTCTTGAGATTTTTGGAAGTGATCATCTGGGGCAAAATACAAAATTACAAAGGCCTGCCCCTGTTGGTTGGTCAGATGATTTTTGAAACTAAGACCATTAATATGACATAACACAGCATGTAATCTAGCATTTTTCTAAATTATTGAGGCTGGATTCTTACTGGATGAGATTTTAAAATTTTCTGGTAATTTAATGAAAAGTTTCTATGAGTGTTCACTTTGGAAAATGTGCAATTTAACACCAACTATCTGATATTATACACCAGCCAGCTAGAACACAAAGCCGTTTTTAATTGAAATCTTTTAAAAATGCTTGCAGTTACATTTTATCCAATGCAGTGTCAAAATTTGATGTTCAGTTTGAAATGATTCTATATGGAAAATACTTTTCATTAAGTGGCTCATGAAACATTTTTTTTTTTTTTTTTTTTTAGCCTTCCCTATGTAGTGAATGTTTTCATAAATCCATTTTGGTTTAACTACAATAGCTCCTAATTACCTGACTTGCTCATTAGAAGTTATAAAAATGTTTTTGTTTTTTTAAAATTTGTGTGATCTAAAGACCTGTTTAACTTCTATTGTGTGTTTTTTGTTTTTGTTTTTTTTGTTTTTTATTGCTTCACTTCCAGACCCTCTAATTTATTTTGGCTTTGTATTTCCTCTTCTCTCTAGTGGACTGGGCTGTGGAGCAAGCCCACTTTGCCCTATTCTTTAACCAAGGCCAATGCTGCTGTGCTGGCTCTCGTACTTACGTACAGGAAGATATATACAAAGAGTTTGTTGAAAGGAGTGTACATAGAGCTAAGAACAGGATTGTGGGAAATCCTTTTGACTTTAAGACTGAGCAGGGACCCCAGGTGAGATGGAAATATTCACAGCATACTCTTAGAGTATCTGTCTTCATTAAATGCTTCTCTTACTATATAGTGAATATTGGTGGAAAAAAGTCAACTTATAGTAAACTTATTTTTAAGGGAAAGGAAGAAATCAAAATACCATTTTGGGCACTTAACTACAGGAAAGCTGATCCGATCATTTTAAAAAAAAAAATTAGAAAAAAAATTAATGTAATACAGCATTTTCTTAAGTTCAGTGTCCATCTCAATTTTTTTTTAAATGTCTATAGCCTTAAACCTGGGAAGTACATGTTGCCTGTCTTTCTATTAATCATGCTAATGCTCTATTTCAGGTTGACGAGGATCAGTTTCATAAAGTTTTAGGATATATTAAAGCTGGGAAACAAGAGGGTGCCAAATTGCTGTGTGGTGGGAACCCTGCTGCTGACCGAGGCTATTTCATTCAACCTACAGTCTTTGGAGATGTGACTGACAACATGACCATTGCTAGAGAGGAGGTATGGTAGATCTGGGCCTCTTTTAGTTGCAAGTGTTTGGTTTACTGGAGGCTCTCTCTTTGGGGGGGGGGGTTTAAGTACTCCCCCTGTAAACTTGTTGCACTGCTAAATGGGGAAACAACCCATGTCAGAGATTAAGTGATCTTGGAATATGGTTAATAGATCTGTCTCCAGACAATATCTGGTTTAAATTTGGTTTTTGTATTTGTACAACCAAATACTTTATAAGTTATTTTTTTTTTTTTTTTTTTTTTTTTTTTCTTATACCAGTCATTGAACATTACTGACAGACTGGTGCTCATTCAGTCGAGTTGTGACCAGATTTATTTATTAAAATAGAAATGTTCAAATATGGTTTGAATTCAGTCATTTTAACCACTGTCCATCCTGTGTTTAATGAATAATCCTGTGTTTTTTTTTCTTTATTTGTAAATCTGTAGAGGGAATGCTATAGTCCTGGTTTAGTTTATTATCAAATCTTGGAGAGTCTCATTGCTGTAAGTGGACATGTGATTTCTAAAATACTGGCTGCTACTTCATTAACACATGACTAGGCCAACAAAGTGGCTTTGTGATTAAGTCATGCAATCTTGAATCACATGCCATTTTGTCTTTTAAACTTATTCAATCAGAAGCTAGACTTATTCCAGTCAACAGAATATTTTTATGATTTATTTTGACATTTTGATTCAATTTGACAGATTTTTGGACCTGTGATGCAAATACTGAAATTCAAGTCGATCGAGGAAGTGATTGAGAGAGGAAACAGCTCAATGTATGGTCTTGCAGCAGCTGTATTCACCAAAGATATTGATAAAGCAAACTATGTGTCTCATTCGCTGAGGGCTGGAACAGTCTGGTAAGCTAGAACGAGACAAATATAAGTCAGTACACAGAACAAAAGCTTTATTTTCCGATGAACTGTTGTACAGTATGTCTTGATAAATGTTATCTAAAGCCAATTTAAAAGTACCTTACAATGTACTGATACAATACTAAGAAAGGAAATGAGTCCAGATACTCTAAGAGGTTTACTTCACATTGGTAGACTTTATTTGGCACTAGGTCTGACTTGGTGTTCCTCTACACACCACATATATAACATTAACTAGAACCCAGAATGAGCTCTTCTGACCCCTCCTCTCTGACATGTTCTTTACTCTTGACTTTCTACCCATTCCTCTTAGATGGTAACCTTGTTTGGGCAAGTCATTTTAACTGTCTGTCAATTACTTGGTTTTGTTCTAAAACCATACACAATGGCATTATTTAACCAGAAGTACCACTACCACTAGAAGTGCACTGTTTGTGTATGAAGTTGTGGGGTTTTGTTTTTTTTTTTTTGTTTGTTTTTTTTTAACTTCCCACCACAATCATGGGAGCTGTAAATAAGAAATGTATTTTTGTCTGGGTTTTCTGATGAATGGAGGCCTGCCTCCAGGCAATCTGAGTGAACCTTAACATGCAGACTTGGCCAAAAAAAACATTCTTTCCATTGCAGGGTAAATTGCTATGATGTTTTCGGAGCTCAAGCCCCATTTGGTGGATACAAGGCTTCTGGAACTGGGAGAGAACTTGGGGAATATGGATTGGAGGCATACACAGAAGTGAAAAATGTAAGTTCAGGGCCACTATGCATCTACTGGGATTATTTGTCTAGTGTCTTTTATTTTATTTCAGATATCTACCTCTCAAATGAATGCATACTAATTTATATATTTTTTCACATTCAGGGTGGAGATGTATTATGACATAGATTTCCTTAAAGTAGTAAATGTAAATTACCAGTAGCAAATAAAGTGGGAGAAGAATGACTGTATAATATATGAAATGTAATATTAGAATAGTCTAGAAATAAGGCAGACAAATAATTGATTTTACACAGGCACCTGACTATTTTTTTGCTTCTTTCGGCAGGTCACTATAAAAATTCCTCAGAAGAACTCTTAAGCGTCTTCAGTTCATATCCTCACATTTCTAAGGATTCTTGTTAAATGTAAAATCAAGGAGAGCTTGCTAATGTGAATTTTTTTTATTTTGTTTTTGATTTAGTGATTTTTGCTTAATAGAAAGATCACTTAGCATCCTTAACATGTTATATTCCCTGCAAATGTATAAGCACTTGTACTAAATATGTACACACAACTTGCTTCATTTCTGGAAAAATAAAATATTATTGTATTTAAGGGACATGTATAGGCACAAGTACAATATACCACATTAAAGGAAAATGCCTTGATCATGTATTTAGTGAAAGATCATAACAGGGTTTCACCTGGCAGTCACTACCCTGGCTAAAGTCAAAGATAAAAAAATCCCACTCAAGTCAGATTAACATGTTGCGGTAGTATATAGGTGATGTAATGAATTTCTGTTAAAGGGAATGGCACTTAAACTATCAGTGTGTACTAGTAAATGTCAGCATATTTAGTAGCACTTGTTATCCTTTGTCCCACATGGCAAAGTTCCAGCATGCATTTTCTAAAACATACAAAAAATGTCTAAGTATCAACCAAGTTCTGAGCTCACCATTAGGAGGAATGCTTCAATGTTTTGCAACCACAACTTGTAATCTAATTGCAGTATTCTTAAATAAATGGTTTGGAAATGTAACTTTAAAGTTTTACCTTTTATTTTTATGTGCACCTTGATTGCTCTGTATCAAACTGATTGGAGTTCACCCACTAAATACATATGTATTTGGAATGGATGTAACTTTTCTGAAAATACCTTTTTGTTTTTAAAAGAAATTGAATGACAAGGTAACATACAGTGGAGCAAAGATAAACTAGTCTGACACAGAACACAAGAGGGACCTACATGTGCTCAAAGCACACGAATACTAGAAAATTCACTCAAAATGTGGTTAAGATGATGTGGGGTAGGGACCAAAGACAGGGTTACCAATGGTGATTCTAATCCTGTATAAAAATGGCCTGAAACTGGACACCTGGCCATCTGAAAGGGATAAGAAGTGAAGGACATATCTGGGTGGGGACCAAAAAGGGCAATAGGGGATAGGAAAATACTCTCAAGGGTCTAGTGGAAAGGGCTTAACAATTGAGTGAGAGGTACGTTTGACTTTAGCATATTGGGTAGCTCCACCATGAATACAGGTATGTTTCCTTGGTCACAGAATGTTACAGCACAGCTCTATTGACAGTTTCTGATCATATAAAACCTAAATTATTTAATTTTTTAGCTGATCATTGTTTAGTCTTGGGAGAGTTGACTTCCTAGACATCTGCCAAGTCCTTTGGATATGCCCAGTAGAACAGATCCCATACACAGGCTGAAGCTTAAGGATGAGAGATTTGTGAGGACCCACAAAGCCAGGGCCGTCTTTAATATTGATTGGACCCTGGGCAAGCATTTACTTGGGCCCCTTGACCCCATCCCACTCCCTGGCATGCAGTCATGCACTCCACCGCAATGTACTGGCAGAACTAAACTAGAAAGGGTACTGGTGCAATGCTTATTTTGGACACCGCTATCGCAAGGGTGGCCATACGGTAGATCCCCATCTGTCATACAATTCCAACAATGCTTTGACAGCTGGGATCTATCATTGTCCCATGCTTGCAGGGTTGTATTTATATTAAGAGGGGGATTTAATTATAAATAGGACAATTACAAAAAACTTACGGGAACAATAGGTTGAAGAGGACCCTGCTAAATCAAGCTTGCATTCTATAGGAGGTGGGGTGAAAAACACATTGGGTCAGGAATTTGCAGTCAAATAGGCTGGGCTGCCCTATAGGAGAGAGCAAGAGACAGGTATGTGAGGTAGAGGCTAGTCTTGGTGGCTATAAGCTTTCCTAAAGAGATGGGTTTTAAGGCACTTCTTAAAAGATGCAAGACTGGGGAGAGTCTGGTGGTGGTAGGCAGGCTATTCCATAGGAAGGGAGCTGCCCGCGAGAAGTCCTGCAAGCGTGAGTTGGTCGTACAGGTGCGGATAACAGACAGGAGGTGGTCACAGGCAGAGCGGAGAGAACGAGAAGGGACATACCTACAGATCTGTGAAGAGATAAAAAGATATGAGGGGCTAGAGTTGTTCAGTGCTTTGTGTGAATTAATACTTTGAATTGACTCCTATAGCATACAGGAAGCCAATATAAGGACTGGCAGAGGGGTGAGGTGTGATAGAACCGACTAGAGAGGAAAATCAGTCTGGCAGCAGTGTTCATTATGGACTGTAGCGGTGCAGTACGGTTTTTGGGAAGACCAATCAGGAGAGGGTTACAATAATTCATGCGGGAAATTACTAGAGCATGGACAAGAAAGGGGTGGATGTGGGCTCTGTTTTTAAGATGGAATCTACAGGATTTGGCAACATGCTGGATATGAGGCCAGTATAAAGTATGATGCCAAGACAGCGCACTTGCATGGATGGACTGATGTGGGTCCCACAAATTTGAAGGGAGAGTGAAAGAGGAGGAACCGTATTAGGAGGAGGAAAGACAAGGAGTTCAGTTTTAGAGAGATTGAGTTTCAGACAGCGGGAGGACATCCAGTCAGAGATGGAAGAAAGGCAAGCAGTGACCTGTGGCAGGGGAGAGGTCCGGGGATGAGGTGGTAGTGGAATACAAGAAAGGTAAGAAGTTTGCCAAGAGGCAGTATAAAGAGAAAATAGAAGGGGACGAAGGACAGAGCCTTGGGGGACTCCAACCGAGACAGGACGAGGGGAGGAGGTATCATTAGAAAAGGAGACACTGAATGAGAGCTGGGAGAGATAAGAGGAAAACCACGAGAGGATAGTCAGAGACAGTGATTGAAGAGTTTGAAGAAGGAGAGCATGATCAACGGTGTCAAAGGCTGCAGAGAGGTCAAGAAGAATTGGTATGGAGAAGTGGTCTTTGGATTTAGCTGCGATTAGGTAATTGGTAACTTTGATAAGTGCAGTCTCAGAAGAGTGGAGAGGGTCAAGGAGAGAGTTGGAAACGAGACACATGGGTAAAGACAAGTCTTTCCAGAAGTTTTGAGGAAAAAGCAGGGATATGGGATGATAGTTACAGGCGGTGGGTGGGTTGAGGTGTTTTTTTTTTATTTTTTATAGGTACTACAGTTAAGTTCAGCAGGGACAATGCCAGAAGAGAGAGAGCAGTTGAAGATGTGCGTTAAGGAAGGCACGAGACAATGGAGAGCGATCTAATAAGGTGAGATGGGACAGGATCGAGTGGGCAAGTGGTGGGGCGAGCGGAAAAGAGAAGAGCAGCCACCTCTTGGTCAGTAGTCAGGGAGAATGTCTGAAGGGTAGGAAAGGCATGATCTGTGTGTGGTTGAGAAACAGAATGGCAAGGAGGGGAGAATTCTTTCCTTAGCTGTTCAATCTGGTCAGTAAAGTAACATGCAAAGTTATCAGCAGTAAGGTTAGTTTGTGGGGTGGCCACAGCAGGGCGAAGAAGAGAATTCAAGGTGTCAAAGAGACGTCTGGGATTGCGCGAGCATGAACTAATGAGTGAGGAAAAGTAGAACTGTTTGGCAAGGGCTGTGCTGTATGAACACAATATGAATCTATAATGGAGAAAGTCTAACTGGGTGCAAGATTTTCTCCAGAAGCGTTCAGCACAACGGGAGCATCTTTGCAGGTAGTGTGTTGATTTAGTATGCCATGGTTGGGGGCGGGTCTTCCTCGAGGTACTTGTTTGGAGCGGTGCTGAGGGGGAAGGGTAGTGTTATATGCGGAGATGGCCAGTGAAGGACAGGACAGGGAAGGGATGGACAGCAGTTGTGAATCAATATCACCTGACAACTGCTGGAGGTCAATAGAATAAAGGTACACGAGAGCAAATGATAAGAGGTGGTGATCAGAGAGAGGAAATGGAGTGTTGCAGATATTAGATACTGTACATGCATAAGGGAAGATTAGGTCAAGGGTATTGCCAGCTACATGGGTGGAAGAATTGGCCCACTGTGATAGCCTGAGGGAGGAGGTAATTGAAAGTAGTTTAGAGGCTGCAGAGGTCAAAGGTGGGTTAATAGGAATATTAAAGTCCCTGAGAATTAGGGATGGAATATTAGAAGAGAGGAAATAGGGTAGCCAGGCAGCAAAGTGGTCAAGGAAGAGAAGAGGGGAACCAGGGGGGCGATAAATAACAGCAATGTTAGCAGAGAAGGGTTTGAAAAGGCGAATTGAATGTATTTCAAATGATGGAAAAGAGAGGGAAGGGGGGTTGGGTAGAGGTTTAAAGGGAGCAGTGAGGGGAGAGGTGAAACCCTACACCACCACCTTTACATTCAGAGCTTCTTGGGTTGTGGGTAAGTTGAAGACCACCGAAGGACAAAGATGCAGGGGTAGCAGTGTCAGAGGGGGAGAGCCAGGTTTCTGTTAAGGCTAGTAAATCTATCGAACGAGAGATGAAGAAGTCATGGGCAGCAGTAGATTTAGTAATATTACAAACAGAGCATGCATTCCAGAAGGCAGTATTGAAGGAGGATTTAGAGGAACATGAGATGGGTATAAGATTAGTGTGGATCCTTGGGTTAGTATCAAAGACCTATACACACACATATGCACACAATCACAGCCCCCCCACCCCCCCACACACATATAATCACATACATACACTAAAAATTGCAGACACACACACACATAATCACAGACTTATATATATATATATATATATATATATACACACACACACACACACACACACACACACACACACACACTAACAATTGCAGACCTATAAAGTAAAGGAGACCCTTGAAACAAGGGGATCCTGGTGGTAGCTCTGAACACACAGAAAAACGCATGTGTAGTTACCAGTTAATAGTGGAAAAGGTGGAAACACACATAAATGGGTAATACAATGGTAAAGGTAGGAGGGAGTAAACAAAAGAAACCCTATCTACACCTTGGAACCACTGAAAGCTTGCTAACTAACTGTAGGGGAGGAATAACCCTTCCCCAAAGTACATAGCAGTAAGTAAAACAAGGAGACAAAAAAAGGAGAGAGATAGAGGGCTCAAGATGCTCCTCTCAATATAGAAGACTCCTAAATCTCTAAGAACCCAAACTGAATAGATTAATACAAGCTGATAACCCAAAAGAAAAAAATGTCAAAGTTCCCACTCGTCTGATAAGCAGATAGAAGTCCTACTAAACTAAATGACCGCAGGACTAAACCTGCCTGACTAGAACCACCTATATAAACTGGTAAACTACCTTAGACCAAACTTGCTAAATAAGCAAGTGCTACCTACTGAAAAGTAAATAAAAATAAAAAGCGCTCGACGCACATTTAAGTGTGAATACACGCCGTCATCAGACCTATACACACATAATCACAAACACATTCATCCAATCACACAGACATACACACACACACACACACACACACACACACACACACACACACACACGCACAAACAAATCACACACATAATAACAGATGTACACATACAGTCACATATAAATACACACATAATCACAGACCTATAAACACAATCTAAGATATACACATACATTTACAGACCTATACACACAGTCACACACTCACAGATGTACACACACAATCACAGACATATCCACACACATACAATCACATACATGTACTCACACACAATCAGACCTACACACATACAGCCACATACCTATACACAATCACATACATAAACACACATAATCACAGATATACACACAATCACAGACCCATCTCTATGGTCTACCCTGGTTCCGTGTAGTAAGTAAGGCCAGGAAGACCATAGAGACTTTCTGACCCAAGGTTCATGTTTATAGCTGAAGGATCCTGTCCTATACTAAAGGGATGAATGAGTTTCTCTCTTATTTATTTCCATATACTTCATTTTAAAATCACAGACCTATACACGCAATCACATACATACAAACACATAATCACAGATACACACACACACACACCATCACAGATATACACACATAATCACTGACTTACACATACACACATACACACAGACCCCACCCCCTTCCACACACATACACAATCACTGACAAAACATACACAAAAATTACATTCATACACATTTCGTGCTTAAGAGGCTCACCCAGCCTCTCT